TCTCCATATACTATGGTATAGGGGGAGAAAGTAAAAATGAACAGCTGTTTTATTAAAAAGTATTATTTACATGGCCAAAATGTAAACAACTCTGTGGAGGGATCTTTAAAGGCTTCTGGGACAGAGTCTTACCATAGTTTTATTTTTGATAACTCATCTACAGACCAAGATCTTTCTTTGGACACCTGTACCAAGTTTCTACGCCCAGCCGTTCTCTCAAATTAGTGGGGACAAAGTTTCCAATTAAATATTTAGATTCCCCCATGTTAATCTTATGGGAGAAACTCCAACTTTGATGGCCTGTGGGGCAAAGCCCGAGGATTTTTATTACAGGAATTGGTGAAAGGGGGCGTCTAAACAAATAATACTTTATTTTGACACGTCGTTTGTAAAAATCCGTCCATTATTAACGAAGGAGTAGTGTTTCGTAGAAATCGCCTTCACGTATTATATATAAGGATAGCTCAAATTTACGTATTTCACTAAGGTTTTTAGACCAAAACATATAGGGCAATGTAATTACTGCTGGAATAAATTTTTAATTGAAGTAAAAAAAAAATTTATATTTTTTCGTTGAGTAGTACATTAGATAAATTAATGACGATGCTTGATGACAAATATGTGGTTGCATAGCTTTATTTGAAGACCAAAATTATCAAAATCGAGTGGGTAGAAAAGCCAAACGAACTCGAAAACACAAAATTTAACTCCCATAAATGTACTGGTACACATTTTGTGCATAACCAGAAATATACGTCAAAAAGAATGTCGATGCTTGATGGCAAATCTGGTGCGTCCATACCTTTAGTCATTATTATCAGTTGTAAGTTTAAAGAAGAAAAATAGTCTTAATCCCAAGAATACTGATGATTTAATTCGAATTACCCTCTGAATTTAAGCAACTACTGTACAATTTCCTTTGTGTCTTGCTTTTGCAATTACCATTATTATAAAGGACTAGGGCAATCTCTGACTATGGTCGGCTTAAATTTAGAAAATTCGTGCTTTTCACACGGACAGCTGCATGTTGCGTGCTCACGTGGTGGTAGTTAGGCATATGCCTAAAAACTTATATATATAAGTTGTATAAATTCATAGATATACAGGGGTTTTTTTTTAACTTGCATCTTTATTTATGTAAAAACCGCAATAGATAGAAATATGCAGTTTGCCAGAATCATCTATTGACGTAGGGGGCCCAATTGTTTTGAATTCAACGTTACATTCACATTCCCCCCCTGCCACCAACTTAATTTTTTTAAATACCAAGGTACCCCTTGTGACATATCAAATGAAAGAGCATGAAAAAAGAAAATGTTTGATGATAAAAAAATTGAAAATCGGTTCATAAATTTGCGAGATATTCCCCCCCCCCCTCCCAGGAACTTTTTTTTTTAATAGCAAGGTACCCCTTGTGATATATCAAATGAAAGACCACATGGTTAGGGTAGTTATCACCCAACCACAAACTGTCGCAGTGGTTGCAGTGTTGTGACATAGCAGACCGATGTGTTAAGGAACAGACGATTGTCGGTGCAAAAGCGGATAGCTTGACCTTAAAGCTATTGATGGATATTTCTGTCTTGCTTCAATTTCATTTTTGTCAAATGAACTGCGATGACAATACACATTCTGAATTGTAAATTTAAAACAGTTCCAATTACTCCATTATTATAGCTTGATGTTATTTTGTATTGTTTTAAATTACTTTTCCTTCTATATTAAAAATTTCATTTTGATTGTCAGCAAGTTTGGTTTTGTTTGTTTGTTTGAAAAAAAAAACCCAAACAATTTTGATTGAAATTTGTCAGTAAAGGTCCTTATAATTCTACACAAAATAGTGCAAACCCCATTCCTGTAAAAATTATGTTTCAAAAGTTAATGCAACATTTCTGTTAAAAAGTAACCCAAGCATGATTTTTTATTGCAAGAAAAATTAAAATATTCTTCCCAAAGATCGGAAACATACGTTTGACAATAGTTTTGTCCATTGATGTAATTTCTGTAATATCAAAAATGATATATCCAAGTATTTATAAACAGTACTAAAATTCTAAAATCCATACTGAACTCTATGTCATTAGCAAAACTTGACACAAGAAGGCACTTAGTTACCAAAATAGTCATCATGTAATAAGGAATAAGTAATAAGTTCATTTAAGATTTTATTTGTATTGATCAAGTGATTCAGTACTAAGTAAAAGTGTAAAGAAGAAAACGGATTTCTAACAACATATTTAAATATAAATATTCAAATATATTTTTACTGGTAAATACTCTCAAATACCTCTCAACTGACTGGTTCTTTACAAATTGGTTGCCCCTGGGTTGGAAGAACTAAGTGAACAAAAATATTACAACAGAGCGTTGGCAGTGGAAGCTTGATGTTAAATAAAAATTTAGTGGGCCCTGTGGAATAAAATTCCCCCCAGAAGTCCTTAGGGGACGTTCTTGGTAGTGTTTAGTTCTTCCAAGGCTGAAAACAATCTTAAGACTACACTAACCTAGCACACTACCACACTAAACTTAGTGTTGCACCCAAGGTGTATCTTTTGTAGTGGATTCTTATTAGTTATAATCACGACTCTTTGAAAGAACTATATTTATGCTAGGATTGAAATACCAAAGGTTAATGATAATCAGCAAATAAATCAATTCCATATATTTAAAAATAACTTCAGTGGAGAATATAATTATAATATAACGATGACAAAAGGTGATGTGTTATGAAATGTATGGACTTTTTACCCTAATATATTTGCCATTAATGTTATCACTACTATATATCGAACCTCTCGGTAGAAGAAGTGATTGGCGCGGTTACAATATAGCCGCGACAGTGACATTAAGGTGTGAAATTTTAATGTTTGAGACGATCCAACACTCACAAAATCCAAAGACGGCTAGTGAAATCACATTGAAAAATTCCCGACTTTTCCCTGACGATTCCATGATTTTTTTAAACATTCCCTGATCGACAAATTCAAAATTACAATTTTAATACTAACTAAATCTTCAAAAGGACTAATCTTTATCTGAAGAATATCTATGTTTGTTGACATGAAAAAATACATAAAATCTATAGATACAGGCTTGTAGCTTATATTCAAACTTTGCAGCTTGCTTTAATAAAATTAAACAGAGTTTGATAAGATGATACGCAGTTTATAACAAAATTTAATTTGTACAAAAACACAAAATTTATTCGTACAAACATATTTTTATAGTTTTCCCCGACACTGCATACGTACTCTCACCAGATCGACCTTCACTAACAATTATTTTAAACATTTTACAATTTTCCCTGACTTATGACAAAATTCCCTGACTTTTCCAGATATTTAATATTCCCTGACATTTCCAGGTTTTCCAGGTCACTAGCCACCCTGAAAGACTATAAAATTGAAGTGTAGATCTCGTTGTCCAATTTGTTACACAGTATAACTGTACGTAACTCAAGGCAATGGTATGAAAGATTATTTATTATTTATAGCTAAAGAGTGTTATGGCGGATACGTCTATATTGGAATACACTCCCACTAACTACAATCGCAAGCCAGAATCGAACCTGCAGCCCTTCCAAGTGTATTAAATTTTCAAATTAATTTCACCATTGGCAATTATACTCTTGTAACCTTTTGTTTGGAATAATACTGTGTTATGGGAACAATGTGTTTGCAATGACGATTATAATACAAACATTTTAATCAAATTACGTTAATTTTATCACAAATAATTGAACATTTATTTATTTTTTAGAATAATGATAATATCTATGACTATGTATAAATACCAATTAATTAGATCAAAATGGATACAAAATGTACTTATTAGTATCTGAATCTGAAAACATGTGCTCAAGAACAGGAAATGGACAAAACATAACATAAAATGTAACGGATTGTACGACCCACTAAGAGTAATTATAACACTAATACAATAAATAATATATAGTTACTTACAATTGGACGTCAGACACAAAACACTTAAGGAATCAGAGAGAATACGGATGAGTTTTTTTCCAAAATGCGGACAAATTGAATTTTGGTTGAACTAAGACGTGAAATTTCGGGAGCGGTACGTATAAGTTGGTGAGGATGAAACGAGTTTTTCCTAACTTAATTTAATTCCAAACGCGTGGCAATTATATCCCTGCAGGATATAGGCTTTAGGGTTTGTTAAAAATTAAATTTTTGCTAACTAACACTGCAAACTACGAATTGATTTGCACGACTCCACTTAACAACTCACCCCACGCATAGGAAGGTTGGAGACACACTGGTCACTGAGACAGACCCTTGGCTAGAAGCTTTCCCCACCACGTCGTAGGGCCGTTGGGTAAGTCGCCTATGTCTAATCAGCTGACTGGATTTGCGTTTCTAATTTGCTGTTTATATTGCATCACATTCGGTACATAAGAATGAAATTTAAATTTTGCTTGTCGCTTGTTTTGGGCGACACACCAAGCCTTAGTTGCAACCCAAACTTGAGCATAAATGGGGCCTAAGGTAAATATCAGGGCTATCCCTAGGGTTGGCAGCGCCCGGAGCAAACGTGGTTGTGGTGCCCCCTCCCCCCCAGTAATAATAGTCGCATTCACATATTTTAATCAATTTTATGTATATATAATGAGAAAAAAGTTATAAATGAACATAATATTTGAATTAGCAAGCCTATTCTTTAAATATAATAATCTTAAAAATTTGGTTGTCCGGATGCAGATTAACTCCTAGGGAGGAATTTGGAAATCCATTATGTCTTACTGGGATAATTATGAAGTACTTTTATTTAAGGACTGGTCTTGGTTGTGTTACTTACTTTTTTTAAAGTTGAAAATCAATATGATTAGGCTCAATAATGGAGTGTATTTTAATGTTTCATAAAGAATAATAGGTGAACAGCATTAAACATTTTGGTTTATAAAATATTTTTTAGATAAGGGTAGGGACCTTAATAAAACACAACAATGAATCATAATAGGTAGTCTATAAATTGGAGAAAGTTTTACTGTTTAAAAAATACTTCTTACAACACAATTGAAATAAATAAAGATTATAAGGCGATGTTAATAGCTGAGCAACCCTTCGGCATTCTTCTGTCATGCTATCCTGAAACAAATAAACAATAACTCAAAATTGTAATCAGAACTAAATAGAGAAAGGGGTGTCTTGTTAACTTGGTGGTTAATTTGTCCTGGACTTTGCTGCAAGAGAAATTGAGATTGACTTAAAGGATCCTTGCACAAGGTGAGAGGATTCAACATAATTTTTCCATGGATATTGCACACACTTGCCCAGCACAGCACAAACCTGCTAACAGCAGGCTACTATTAAAATTAAAGTAAAGTACTGTAGAACCAAATCAGATTACGCTCTTGTGTCCACCATAGCATTATAGAACACCATAGAGCACTAAACGGTTTTCATAGTCTTTTATCAATTAAGTATTAAATGTATCCATTCAAATACATACAAATTATAACCCAGTGAATGATTGAAATACATGTCATGATGAAACCATACAGCGGTAGCCCAAGTACGGCTTCATCATATAAAATCATATGCTAGTTGGTCTGACCATACTGGGCAGGAGTAGAGTGGCCAGCTGTGCTGCGGTTAGCGTATATTCCGGCGCCGACCGCCAGGGGTAATGTGTAGTTACAGCGCACACCGCTGCAGCATCAAGCGCTAGCGACCGTTTCTATAAGAAATTGGTAGTTAGGAGTAGTGTTGCCAACTTTGGAGGAATCCCCTGGAATTCGAGTTTACTGACTTATTTAATAATAAGCAATAAATTAATTTAAATGCCATCTTTTATTGTATTTTTTTTAAACATATATTTGTTATACTTTTGTAGTTTCATTACAATGATTCAAAGTTTTTCTTTATTAATCCATAATTTTAGGAAGTGGTTTATTGGAAGGTTTTGTTTTATATTTGCAAGGTCAAAATAAAATTTAACCAGGATGTCTAGTAGTCGTGGAAAACGGGAAAGTCACGTATTAACTTAGTATTGAATTTCAAAATGGTCTTGAAAAGTTGGGATTTAGTCTTTATTTTCATATCAAAGTCGGTAAATTTCATGATTTTACCTCGATCGCGCTAGACAACGATCACGTTTCCATGACGGCGCAAGACGATGATGTGTCTACACGACCGCGGGAGATGTTCTTAAACCGCGACTGTGCTAGACGACGTTTTCGTGACCACGGACCACGGGAAAAATGATCACGTCTTTTCTGCGATCGCGCAAGGCGATTGTATATACGGCCGCTGAAGATGTTCACAATTTTGCCGCAATCGTGGACGACGATGACGTTTTGTGACCACGGCATTCAATGATGATGTCTACACAGCCGCGGAAGATGTTCATGATTTTGACGCGATTGCAGAAGACGACAATAGCGAATAGTAATCATTTCGTTTGCAAGAGTGGTAGTGCTGGTAACAGCTGGCGAGTAGTCGACGACGACACTGAATTGAATACCGATAACTGATATCGAACGGCAAAAACGCTCAAGCGGCAGATCGCAAAACCTTTCTTTGAACGTCTATATTTACTCTATTGTCTATGACTATAGTATTACACATCTACCATAGCCATAATGTTCTACCACTTCACCCAAACAAAAGAAAAAAATTAATTAGCCTATTAAAGATTCACAAAATATCACAAATTATTCGTGAAATTAAAACATAAACATAACTGTAAACAGACAGTTATCATTGTGTATGACAGTTTTTTGTTGCTGCTTAGTTCAAATTAGCTGTTTTCATAAATGAAAAAAAATAATAGTGCTGCATCCTGTTGGTAAATCTTATAACTTTTTTTTTTTTTTTTAAAGAGGTTGGCGGCCTCTTTTAACCTTGCATTTGCCCGTCCACAAAGACTACAGATCTGTGCGTGGAACGTATCCAGAAAAGCAAGGGGTGAGCCGGTACAGTACAAAGGTGAACTGTACTGATAAAAGTTAGTGGCAGTGACCAGGATCCGAACCCACGACACTACTGCCTTGGGCCTGAAGTCCGCGACGCTACCGACTCACCAACTTAATGCAACTTTAATCAACTTAATCAACTTTTAATGCCTTTGCATATCATAGAACCAACCTTTTTAGTTGAATGCCAATCGCAGCACTGAAACGGAGAAATTTAAAAACAGTACTTTCTTAAATAACATGCCTTGTATTATTCTGTCACCATAGGTAACTCTGAAACTTGAACAGTGCTGTAAGTTGATTAAAGTGTCTTTTTTTCCAAATATAAAAACTTAACCGCCACAGCACATCATAAGTTAATGTTAAACAAGGACTGAAAATGCTTCTTAGTCATATTGATAGCTTAGCCAAACTTACTTACCTTTTTTGCTTTTGATTCTTTTCCAAGAAAATTTCTCTCCTTATTTGGCCCCAAATAAGCAGACAACTTCATCAATATTGTTTACATGTGAAGTACTCTCATACATTAACACCAAACATTTGCAATGCTCCAAGCTTTACAAGAAAATTTACCTGGAACAAAAATAGGCAGTGTACATCATTCAGGCCTACTTCTTGTTAAAAGTAAAAACAGAATATAGAAACAATAACTCAAGGTAGGGCATATTTTCTTTCTACATATATTTGGATTGGTAAATAAAAACTTAAAAACCCGATGGCCACTGGTTCTCTCGGACCCAAGTGTCTTTACCCAGGTGGAACTTATAAAGTGTGTTTTTTACTAAAACATTAATAGCTTAGTACTATAAAATAAAGCTATCAAGTTTGATTTATAATAAATATAGCCTATATATTTATATAGAGTAAAATATAAATTAAGCTTTTTGTTGGTCGCAAAACATAAACAAATAAAAAATAGAAGAAGGTAGCTTCTAATGTTATTCTTATGGGACAAATTTAAAAATGTATTTTTAGGGTTTTATAATTACTACTGAACGGAATCGTCTAAATTTTATGTTGTCTTTCCATTGGTGTCATAATTAAGATTTGTGCAATTTTTTAACACTATAGGTGCAACGGTTAGCTTGAGTTTTTTATGCGAACACTTACACACACACACACACACACACAGTCAAGCGGACAACTAATCCACGACTCCGCTATACACAACACGATACATAGATGACATATTTTTTTTTAAATTTCTTTAGAAAGGTCTAGAGAATAATTGATAAATTTTGTGTTTTAAGGGTAAAAAATGAGAAAACCCCATTTTTTTTGCCTAGGCCCCTTCTCTGCATAGAATTCATTAAAACCCGGTCCCATGGTCCGATCATGCTAGTTCACAAACTCATTCAGATTTATCCCACCTTACCCCTTCAAACCAAATTTTCATTTGATTTTAGGTTATGAAACAAACATAATACGGTACCAAAGATTTGCCTTTGCCAATTACAATCAATTGTAAATATGGTGGGTTAATATGTACTCAGGTATGTGTCACAATTTCATTTTCTTAGGTACCGTACATGTTTTTTGCTATAAGCATTGACTAGCATCTATAAGCTAACAGCATGGTTTGCTGCCTTGTTTACTGTGTGAAATTAACCTAACTTAAGTTTTGTGACGTTGCCTATTGTAAGTTATTTTATAGCCTACTAAATTTCCATTCATACTTGGCTTAAAATACCTAATATGTATGGTCGCCATTTCATTGAACAGTATTAACAGTATTAATGGTAGAATAAGTTAAAGGGTACAGTTTCTTAACTGGGCTACAATAATTTTATTGAAACTATCGATTCGATTAGTAAACCTACATGCGATTTTTTCACCATCAGCAAGTTTGGTTGGTTAGGTTACGTTATGATAGTTTAATTTTATAATAAACTTAGATATACGGTATTATAAAATATCAATTATTAATCAATATTTTTAATTTGATAGTTCAATAAAAAATATTAACTTAAGTTAGCGTAGCCCAGTTAACACATTCGCGGCGGCATGGGAGCGATCGCTCCCATACGGAACCCTAATGCCATCCTGGTGGGTGCGATCGCTCCCAAGCTGCAATGCAGTACGAAATGATTTATTTTTAAGCCAGGATTAGAGCTAGAAACTTGAAACCTCACACAGCACTGCTTAATAGTATACTGTATTTTTTGTGGTGTAGGTTGGTAGTAAATTTTCCCGTAAAATCCCCGTCTGACAATCTCAAAAATGTATTTTTTGTCCCGTCTTTTTCTCTCCATTTGCAATACAATTCCAATTGGACCGGCTACGTTCCAAGCAGTGCTGCTATCTGTGGGTGTTTAGCAAACTACGTCGACTCTTGTTGTAAAACAGGACATCCTCGCACGTTATTTGCTATACGTCAGACCGAAATTGGAAAGCCAATCACACGTGGCAATCGGGTTTGTTCGACGCTGAGGGCCGCGCCGCATTGGGGATACCGGTACGCCCGCCATTTGACGTGCCGCCGCGAACGTGTTAAGAAACTGTAGGCCTACCCAAGTTAAATCTTTTGGCTCAGTATTATCACGCTTACCATTTCTAAGGTTACACTTCCATAAGTTATCTGTTGGCACAAACAACCGAATGAAAATATCGATCGATATGCGGTATCGATTATTCGATATATCGTTTGGTATCATTATTACCTACTCATTCGGTTGTTTGTGCCAACAGATATGGAAGTGTACCCATTTCGAACATAGCCTATGCTTACTATCAGTAAATCCAAGTATCCATAGGCCTAAGCTTCCCATTTTTTATATAGGCTACATACTAAGTTAGGCCTCGAAGCTACAGGTATTGACCTTTTCAATTGCTTGCCTTTTTCAGCTTAGCATGTTAGCTTAGGTAGTTTTAAGAATGTGATATATGCATGGTTGATAGTAAGGCCCTTCTACAGCCTTAAAGAATATTTTGAAGCAGACTTCAGCTCCATCAATTTTGCATGATGTTTTTAGTTTTTTTCCAAAATAGCCACTCATTTAATTTTGTAGAATGAACACTTTTTTTTATGTTTGCTTTAGTCAGCATGTTTTACTATTGTACTTATGACTGTCTTGTGCATTTCAAGCATCCATGACAAGATCGATTGCATGTAATTTTGCCTAAAGATCAATAAATGTCTTATGTCTTAACAGTAACTTACCTAAGTTAGTTAGCCTATATTCCTAAGCACGCTGCTTCAAAGGCTGCACTTTAGTTTACGTCCTACACTCATTCTAATGAAAAATATCAGTTAGATTATTCGATATTTCAATTAGGCTATTTCATTAATAACCAAACTTGATAGCCTACTTATATCGTTTAAAGGCCTACTCGAATACTTGATAATCATTCGATATATTCATTCGAATGAGTGTAGGACGTAAACTTAAGTGCAGCCGTTGAATACATTTACTGATATTTTTATTAAGTTAATTGTTTATGCCTGTCACAGGAAATCTGTAACTTAAGTCACAGCTAACTTAAGCTTACCTAGGGAACTTAACCTAATTAATAACACTCAAGCAAATAATAGCCTACTGCATTTTGTTACTTTGAATAACAAGGCCTAGGAACAGGATTGGATTAAAACTTACTGGATTTCAACACCACAATATAGTTTTGGAATTTTTTGATGTTTACAATTTATTAATAATCATTGTTCCTCTCCTTTATCTTCTGTCAACACCAGCCAGACCATTGACAAGATTCATTAATTTTCAATGCCGTTATCCTTCACTTCACTTCATTTTCATATCTTTTAACTTCTCAGTCACTATAAATATTTCTTGCATTTTCATTGTCATACAGCATGTAATTGTTGCCATTTCTCGTATAAAAATCGTGTATAACATTTAAATAATATATATGGTAGACCTGACTGAAGCGAGCAGCTGATGCCATTCCCACAATGCAACATTCTCCTCAATTATAAGCTATGCCCCAAAATCAGAATTATAAGGTATGACTCAAAATCAGGATTATAAGCTATAGAACAGATTCGGAATTATAAGCTGTGCCACTATTTGACCATTATAAGTTGTGACACTGAAAATGTTTCATACCTTATAACGTTTTAGAGAAATTGTGGCATAGCTTATAATTTTTCGTGAAAGTGTGGCATAGCTTATAACTGATTATAAGCTATGCCACATTTTCAACATTATAAGCTATGGAACAAATTCACGATTATAAGCTATGACATTATAAGCTATGAGACCCCACGCCTTCGGTGTGCCCATTCCCGTCCTGTCCTACTCTAGGAGGAGTTTAATCCTCCTAGGTCCTACCATAGACTAACCGTATGTTTTATCTATGGTCCTACCTACTAACTAACCAAAACAAAACTATTAAATATAACTAACCTCTAAAGAAAATTGTTTAGTTAGTTCCTTAAATGATATTTAAACTATATTAATATATTTATAGCCTACTATTGAAAGTATTGATAATTTTCAGTAAATTTAACCGTTTTGTTTAGTAAGTCTTTGTCTCAAAATATGGATCACAAGGAAGAACAAACAAATGAAATTGAAGCTTTAGATTCCATCTATTGTGGTGAAATGGAAAGTAAGTTAACTTATAACATGGCCTAACCTAATACAACATCAACACTGTACAATTTGTTACCCTACCCTAGGTTAGAAAGCTTCTGGCTTGTAGTGTAAACCACCCATAAACATTTTAATTACTTGGCGTTAAAAATTCACCATAAAATTTCTTCAAGCTGAGAAAATAACTTATCTTCATAGGAATATGTATTATGCAACTCAAGTTGGTTCAAGCTATGATGTTTATTTATTTTCGTAGTCAGTCATAGGCCTAGTATAGCCTATTTCTGGTTGTCAACCATAGTAAGTTAGACCTAACTTAGGTTATTTACCAGTTAGGCGATTTCATTTTTCATGCTACTCAACCTAGTCAATATGTAAACAGTAACTTAATAAACTTGGGTACACTTCCATATCTGTTACAAACAACCGAATGAGTAATATTGATTATTCAATTGTTTAATTCGATATAAGTTATCGATCGATATTTTCATTCGGTTGTTTGTGCCAACAGATATAGAAGTATACCCATAAACTTGCATAACTTATTATTTGGTGAGTTGGAAGCGCCAAGTTAAGTTAGAAGGTGTCAAATGTAGTAATCTTTCATGGTGTACAAGTTTCGAGCCAATACTGCTCATCTTGAGCCTAGCAGCATTTGTATAGGTAGGCTAGTATTTATTCACAATCAATCCTATTTAGCAATGTTCTTTTTAGGATTTACTAACACTCACGTAAGTTAGGCCCATGCACAGAATTAAACATTACATGTAGGCCTAACTTATTGTAGGCTAACTTATTGCCGGTAACTTATTCATACACATACTACTTAGGCACGCGTGGAGCTACTAAATAGAATGACTTTCGTAGGCCTACTAAGGATCACTGGAGAGTGATGTCACAGTATCAGCTGACTGGCGGTTCCTATTTTCAGTACCTATTGCTATCTAGTTCGCAAAAAAGATGATAAGTTAAGTGATATTGTCTGAGTATTAACATAGACTAACCAACACAAGTAGGTAGACTTTTCATCCCTTTGTAAATTCTGAAGCATGTTTTTCATGTAGGCCTAAAGTTCATGTACGGTAAAACTGGGCGCTAGTGTCGACGAAATTTTGTTTCTATTATTTTAGGGTTAGTTTCTTGATTTGTGCTTTACTGTTTGGTTATATGTATAACTAACACAACAAGTTATTGTTTATGATTAGATTGTATTATTTGGCTAAACAAGGTTTTAAATTACTGTAATAACGGGAAATAAATTTTAAACAAAACACAACCTCTACATAAACCGAACAGCACTAAGAATAAAATTGTCTTCAGCTGTTCAATAAGGATGAGAAATCTACTAAGGGAGAATGTTTTATCTATGGTATTAATCCCTTTTAGCGAATTTCCCTATAGGGAAGTAGCTATTACCGTAGGTGGCATGGTAAGACCTAGGCCCGGGACCGATTTACTTTTTCATTTTGATGTCCCCAGAGGCCAAAAACACCATTCGTTCAAATTTTTATATATGTATATTTTTTATATATGTGCGATAACTTGAGTAATTTTTGTCCGATTTTGATGAAATTTGGTTTAAAGGTGTAAAGCCGGATAAACTTGAATGAGTTCGGGAACCAGCATGATCGGACCATGGGAACGTGGTTTTACAGGGGGTTTTATGGGGTAAAAATTGGTTTTTCTCACTTTTGACCCTCAAAACACAAAATTTCCAATTTCTATATAGACCTTTTTTAAAAAGCTTAAAAAAACAAATAATTTAGTATACCAAAGTATTTTTGTTCGGTTATTGGTAACGGAGAAAATTAAAAAAATCTTAAATTTAAAATTCCCATGTTATTCTTATGGAGAATATTGTAAAATGTTGTAGTTTGCTTGTTTGTGGATATATTTTGATTAAACTTGGCAAATTAATTTATTTTACACTAAGCTATTAATATTTGACTACAGTAATAAACACACTTTATTAGTTTCCTTGTAGCAGCAAACCCAGGTACTTGTTAAACCTTATGTTATTTAAATATATTTAATGAAAATCAATTCAGACAAATGGAAATTCGCTTAGTCGGCAGGTTTGCTGCGGCGGGGGTATTATTTAACATTGTTCCATTGCTGTTACCATAGATAAAACCATAGATAAAACATAAAACATACTCCTTTAGTAGATTTGTCATCCATATGGAACAGCTGAAGACAATTTTATTGTTAGTTCTGTACGTCCAACTGTAGGGATCGTGTTTTGTTTACAATTTGTTTCTTGTTATTACAGTCATTAAAAACCTCATTTAACCAAATAAAACGATATAATTATAAACAATAACTGGTCTTCTAGTTATATAACCAAAAAGCACAAATCATGAAAATAATCTTAAAATAATAGAAACAAATTTTGTCTAGGCCTAGGCCTACCCCAGTGATCAGTCTGGACGTACATGAACTAGACACAAAAATCAATCTTCAAAGTTTACAATAGGATGAGGAGTCTACTTGTGTTGCTTAGTCTATGCCGTTACCCTTGTTATTGTTAGGCCTAATACTGTATAAATGCTGCTGAAGATGAGCTGTAATCGCTCAAAACATGTACAGCGTGAAAGATGACTGCGTTTGACAGCTTCTGGCATAGGCCCAACCTACGACGGAAGTACATTTTCAACTTTAATTGAATATGACCTTAAAGGTGTCAAAGCTGTTCAATTTTAAAGTCCACCCTTGTTGATTCAAGATTTATTCAGCCGTTTGGTTTTTATCAATTTGCCAAGTCAGTAAAACTAAACTTAAATAACAAAACAGAGATGCATTGACTCGCAAAAAAAAGTCAAAAGAGCACATAAAAAAGCTCAAAGAGCACACCATGCAAAATAAATAAATAAATAAAACTGTAAAACATGCAGAGGGGGAAAAATGTAAAATTAATAATGGGTAGTTGTACTTCACTTTCATGTTATAAAGGGAACTTTCATTATTATCAATGTTTTTTTTATTCATCGATATTTTATTTGTCGATCTGATATGTAGGCTTCTAAAGCTTCTGGGGGTAATCATTATCGGATTTATATCAATCAGCTGGCAACTATGATAAATAAGTAGCCTATTGTTCAGTACCAACAAACAATTAAATAATTTTGGTAAAAAAATGTAAATATGCGATTTTTTGTAAAACAAAATAGTGCAATTGGATTATTGGAAAGCGTTAAAACCAAAGAACTTGAACAGTCTGGTTTTACTAACTTTACAGTCTACCATGGATACAATTTTGTTGATCCGGAAACTAGAACACACAACAGGTGAGGGTCAGCTCCTGTATGTGAGGGTCAGCAAAAAGGAGAACAAGCGGCAACATCAGTCCACCATTTAGATTCATATCTTGCTGAATAGATGTGGCAGGAGTATGTAAAAGCAGAGAATCAAGATTGTATTGATAGTAGTATAATATCAGACATATCGGCATTTATGACCTTGTCTTAGATCTGTTATTAGTTTTGTCTTTTAGAATATACAGTTTTGATTTATTAATGTAGGCTATGTTTTTTAAAAGAACTAACATAACGTTACCTACATTAAAGAAAAAAAACCTGCACCACTTGTACCGATCGCCAATATCGACATAAGCCTCTCTAAAAATAAAATATCGATATGACGAAAAAAATCGATAACCTTGAATGTTCCCCATCGAACAGGAAAGTAGGTAGCGTGTTGACTTATCCCTTGCTTTGCTGCATACATTCCTCCCACAGGTCTCTAAAGCCCATGCATGTTTAGGGGATAACGCTACGTAAAAGAGGCCTCTATCCTCTTAAAAAAATACATCTGCTGCAGCAAACGTGTAGAGTAAGCTGATCTCCATCTTTTTTGGATTTCCAATTAAATATTTTGGATATCCCTAATCTAAATCCAAGGGGGGGGGGCAGGTAACATAATATAGCCTAATTATGTATTGTATTTTGTAACGGTAAAGTAAAACATACCGTAAATTCATTATCACCAACATGGAAGAAAAAATTATAGGTAACCATTTTATAACCTGCACATTCTCAATGAGCTTATAGCTTTGATAAAACCTCTGATACAGTGTTTTAAAACCACAGTACGGTAGCTTAGGCAATACTCAAAGTAGATTGAGCTTTTGTAGTGTACTTTGACCCTTTGACAAAGTATTTTCTATCAATCGTAATATTTTCTAGGCCTTTTTAAGGCAGGTAGGCTAATGTGTACTAAATGATGTTGGTTGATTATTAACACATTGCTGGTGAGGTAGTTGTTACAGTTTGTGAAAAGGGTTTATTGTGTGGTTTTCAGTCTTAAGTCTTGAACCATACCACATTTTTGTAATTCCTGTAAAGTCTGATGACTATGATGAAGATTCAAGTGCTGGAATTTCATGTCGGTTACGATTTGAATACACTCCAAACTATCCAGAAGAGCCTCCTATAATCGACATTGAAGATACAGTTGGATTAGAAGATGATGATGAGCAAACCCTAAGGCATCATTTACAAGAACAGGTAGGCCTACTCAACATCAGCCTATAATCACATGTTCAGTAGGTAATAAGATGTTCTAGGAGCTCCTTGCTGCATCTAAACCCATCCATTAAACTTTAATGTAGTTTAATGGTTTGAAAAATAGAGCAACACACCATTGTTAACAGCAACCAAATGTAGTTAACAAACAGAGTTAGCCTAGATATTCTTTGTCCTACTTATATTTCTCTAACCATTGTTTGAATTAAACTTTGTTAAGTTACTATCATCAGATTATGCATTTGTTGGTGGTTGCACTATAAGAGTGTTGTGTTCAGCTTAACAAGATTACTTACTTAGAGCAGAAACTAGTAGGCCTACTGTGACCAGTGACCACACCTGAGTTCCAAGTGCTGTGTCCAGTGGCAGATCCAGCATTAGATTGAGGGGGGGCAGATTAGAGGTAATCCCCCCCCCCTCCAAATCGTCATTGTTTCCCGTGTTCACGGCAAAACCCTGAATAACCCCGCGATAATGCAACGTTATCATCGTCCTCCGCAATTGTGGAAAAATCATGAACAACTCCCGCTGTCCTGTAGAAATTATCGTTGTCTTCGGTGTCTGTGGCTAAACTCTCATCATCTCCCGCACCCACAGTCACGGAAACATCATAATTTTCTTCGCCGATCACGGTAAAATTTTGTTCATTTCCTACAGTTGTATAGACACCATCATTGTCTCGGCCGGTCACAGCAAAACCCTGAATAACCCCTGCGGTAACTAATACTATCATCATCTTCCGTGATCACTGCAAAATTATGAACATCTCCCGTGGTCATGTAGACATCATCCTCGTTTCCCACAGTCACGGATATGTCATCATTGTCATCCACGATTGTAGAAAAATTTGATCATTTTCGGGGGCTATGTAGACATTGTCATTGTCTCCAATGGTAACGGCAAAATATTGAATATTTCCCGCGGTAACAGAAACATCATCATCATCTTCCACGATCGTGGCACAACTCTGATCATTCCCGGCAGTGTAGACTTTGAAATTGTCTTTCGCGGTCACAGCAAAACACCGAATAACCCCAGCAATGGAACATCAGCATGGGCTTCCTCGATCGCGGCAAAATATTGTTCCGTGTGGACATCATCATTGTCTCCTGTGGTCACAGCAAAACCCTGAATAAACCCTCCGGTAACTGAACATCATCATCGTCTTTGCCGATCGTGGCAAAGATTTGACATTACATGCAGTAAAAAAAATACATCTGTGAGGGTGGGGGGGGGGGGGGGGGCGCCCCTTTCGCCGCCCCTCTGGATCCGCCACTGACTGTGTCATATGTATTCCTGTTGAAATATTTTTTAAGTAGGGACTAGAACAAAAATTATAAAGAGCAATGGTGGATCAAACAGAAGATTGGACATTTGAATATATAACACAGAATCCTCAAAGTGGAATTATAATTGATCCAACCATAAGGTTTGAAATATCAAAATACCAACCCGTAGAATTAGATGAAGAAAAGAGAAAAATTTTTAGTAAAAGTAAAAATTATTTAAGAAACAAATATAATCTTAATTCTATATCAGTAATTGGCATAATGATTGGTGCAAGAGGGACTATTACAAAACTTTTTGACGAATTTATAAAAAAATATAATCTTCTATCAAAATTAAAAAATTAAATAGTCATAAAAGTGTTAAAAGGATCATGTAAAATCATTCAAAATCATTTATATGGACAACATTAAGTTACTTATTATTTATATAAAAAAAATTTAAGTTTATTGTTGTTATTGTTACTGTAATAAACTGAGTTTTCAAAATAAAAAATAAACATGAAAAGATATTTTTATATTTATTTTTGAAAAGCATGTAATATAAGCACGTCGGGTCTCAAATAGTACAAAGGGCAGGTCCTTGAAAATTGGTGAAAGCCAATATTATTATTATAATTAGCTTAAAAAAAACTGTTGCAAGTATTCCTTGACACAGAGATGCCAGATATTTTTTGCCTTACAGAACACAATTTAAATACCCCCGCCGCAGCAAACCTGCAGACTAAGTGAATTTCCATTTGCCTGATTGGATTTACACTAAAATGTCTCCTTAAAAATATCACATTTATTCTCTACTAGCTGTAACCCACGGGCTTTGCCCCGTTTAACTTCTTAATTTTCAAGATTATCTCGTTCGCATGGCTCAATCACGTCCTTGTTGAAGTTTGTTCGCTACGCTCACTCACCTTTAGGTTGGAGCTCGTTCGCTACGCTCACTCACCTTTAGGTTGGAGCTCGTTCGCTGCGCTCACTTGCCTTCAGTTTAGCTCGTTCGCTGCGCTCACTTGCCTTCAGTTTAGCTCGTACGCTTCGCTAACTCGCCTCCAGGTTGAAGTTCGTTCGCTACGCTCACTCACCTTTTGGTTGCAAATTAGCTGTTGTCATAAATGTAAAAGAAATAATAGTGCTGCACCCTGTTGGTAATCCTTGTAACTTTAATGCTATTGAACATCATAGAACAGGACCAACTTGTTTAATTGAAACAGCTGTTAAGATTCAACAATTCCATTTCTCATTAGGTTAACATGGGAAACTCCAGAGCCACTGGGGCGGAGCCCGAAAGGATTTTTGAAATAAGAATATGCCTATATGTTAATCGGGAATGTCAGCTATCATAATGCCAAATTTCAGCCCAATCCGACCAGTATTTTTCGCGTTCACTTGTCACAAACATACATCCATACATCCATATATCCATACATCCAAACTTTCTCATTTATAATATTATAGTAGGATTTAAATAGAATCAGTTTAACACATACTTAGGTTTGCTGCAACAGGGAGGGTAAAAGTGTTTTTTATGTAAAATGTTAATAGTTAGTAAGAAATAAAAACATTTTCCAAATTTGGGCAAAATATGTTAATAAACAAGCAAACTACAACAGTTTACTTATTCTCCATAAGAATTACATGAGAATTTTCAATTTACAATTTTTTGGAATTTTCTCCGTAACCATTAGGCGCATTATAACGCTTCAATATACTAAATTATTTGTTTTTTTAAGCTCTACAAAATTGTTTGGAAATAAATTGCAAAATTTTATGTTTTTTGGGTCAAAAATGGGAAAAACCCATTTTTACCCAGTAAAAGCCTCCATAAACCCCCGTTCCCATGGTCCGATCATGCTGGTTCGCGAACTCGTTCGAATAAATGTAGGTTTACACGTTTGTACCAAATTTCATCAAAATCGGATCATTTTTGCTCGAGTTATCGCACTAACGGACACATATATATATATGAATTTGAACGGATGGTGTTTTTGGCCTCTAGGGACCTCAAAACGAAAAAAAAATCGGTCCCGGGTCCAGGTCTTACCATGAGTACTACGGTAATAGCTTATTCCCTATATGGGAAATTCGCTAATAAAAACAAATGAATTTGAAATTTTTAGACTGGAGGGGTTAACAACGTTACTTCGTTCTGCAGAAAAGACCTTGAGAGAGGTGGAGTCTGTATACTCGCCAGGAGTGACCTTTGTTGGAATCGATATTGCCACGAGGGTGAGTGTGAATTAGCCGGAGTTCTAATCAATTACAGTGGAGAAACAGTTGTTCTCATTGCAGGCTACAGACCACCTACAAATAACCATAAACTGCTTAGCAGAATATCTGGATAGATATATTAATTACAAGAACTGAACCATATTAGTAGGAGATTTTAGTATATATTTGGCCACTAAATCATTTACAGCTTCTCAATACATCACCACAATGGACTCCTTTGGACTGACCAACATAGTAAAGTCCTTTACAAGAGAACACAAAAGCTCCAGAACCCTTATTGATCATGTGTTCACAAACAGTGAGGAAGAGAATTTCAGATGCTCCGTGATAATGTAAGCCCTCTCAGATCACCACGCCCAACTAGCTACATTAGAACTTCCAAACACAAAAACATCGTCAGCCCCCAGATCAATATTTTGTAGAAAGTTCACACTCTCAGATAAAGAATATTTTAATATATTGATAAAAAAAGAAAATTGGGAATCAGTGTACACACTATATGGCGTAAATGATAAATATTCAGCTTTTGAGAAAACTATAATTCACCTTTTTAACATCACGTTTTCTAAGGTGGTCTTAAAAAACAAAATAGCAAAAGATAGGCCGAAAATAGTTCTTGGACCTGACACGATTGAGTTAGGAAGAACTGTCCGTTAACTTCATATTAAAAACAAAGGACCTTGACTCAACCCATTACATGAGACAATTCTACTTTTGAATGAAACAAAAATATAGATGCCAAATTAGACAGAGAAAATCAGCCCAGATATTAAACATTTTTAGAAAAAAATTAACATCATGTTTAAGAACCAATTTGGGTTTGTGAAAGGGAAATGAACCACCAATGCAATGTTTACCCTTATAACAAAAGTAGTACGGGCTCTTGACTCAGGAGAGAATGTTTTAGGGCTTTTCTTTGACCTGAGTAAGGCCTTTCATACTGTAAGGGCCATGTCATACGAGCGTTATTGCCGTCGCGCAGATGCCGTCGCGTTAAAGTCGCTCCAACCCGGCAATGGGGTTTTTATGGAGGATGTCATACGGACGCTAATGCCGTCGGCGAGTCCGCGTTAGCCGGACGCTGAGCGCAGCCAACGCGGACGGTCGCGTTAGCGACGCGGCGCACGTGACGCGGGACCCTGTCATACGGAGCGCTAGCGCTAGCGGGACGCATTTGCCGCGTGAGCACTGTCAGAACAACTGGAACACCTTTGGAGTGACCATTACGATATTTGATACGATGTTTGATACGGAAAAATTTATTTATTTAGTTGAAAAACTGCCATTCTGTACGATGTAAAAGTCGAGTGATTACAGCAACAGGCAATTGAAGGCACAGTGCTGGAACGACGTTAGGGAGGCCATGCACGAAAACTGGAATCAGATGACAGGATTATTGGATTCTTCCGATAATACTCTTCATATGTATCTAAAATGTGCAAAAAGCTGATACAACCTACCTGGATGGTGTCCATCTTGGTAATAACATAATTGCCGCGACGGCAAATGCGCCCGGAAGACGCTACGTATGACAGGCACCTGGCGTTGGCGGGACGGCATCAACGCGACGCATTTGCCGTCACGTATGACATGCAATTTTTCCGGCGCTATCTCGACGGCATCAGCGCGACGGCAATAGCGCTCGTATGACGTGGCCCTAAATCACGATTTGCTCATCAATAAACTTCAATCTATAGGAGTGAGGGGGCTGGCACATGAGTGGTTCTCTCATCCCTCGAAATAGGGAGGTCAGAGGAGTTGATGGCACTGGGTGTGCTCGACCCTTTGTCTCCTCTCGGGACACCGTCACTTGTGGGGTTCCCCAGGGATCTGTCCTCGGACCTGTACTGTTTTTGATTTACATCAATGAATTGCCTTCAAGTGTTTAGGCTGGAGAGATCTGTCTTTTAGCGGATGACACGTCTTTAGCCCTGTCTGGCTCAACTGCCGAGGAATTGGAATTTAAATAGTTCCTTGAAGCAAACAACATAAAGCAGTGGTTTGACTCCATTTTATTAAATCTCAATCCCAACTAAACTGAATTGCTCGGTTTTTCCATCCTAGGCAATCCACTCCAACTATTCTTTTAGACGAAGTGGAAATTGAGCCGTCAGAGGGTGTTAAGGGTCTGCAGGACATCGACTCGGAAATCTCAGCTCGGGCTTCAGTAGCTATGTTGCGCCATTGAACAGTGCCATGAGAAGCGCTTGCAGACGTTCACGGCAACTGCCTTTGTAAACTACCCAAACATGCTGGTAAAAAGCAATGAGTGGGGTTATACAGAACATAGAACAATCTATGCGTCTCTGGTTTTAGAATTTTAAAGTAACAATTCTATAATGAGTTAAAGCAGTTTACAATTGCCGTGTTTGTCTACATTCAAAGAAGATTTTCAGGCTTTATGGTACGATGTTAAAAATATTGAAACCACAACACTCTAGATAATTTAATCCTCTTCAAAATGCCACCCGAACTTTGATTCTACGTTAAGTGTAGCCTTCGGAAACACGGTTGTCCCAGACCATTGTGTTTACACAAAACGGCAGAGGTAGGGCGGACCCTTAAGTTCCTTGGTTTAATATTAGACAAACACCTTAGTTTTTATGACCATGCCGACAGTGTGTGCATGAGGGTTGGTTATTTATTAACTTATTTTTTAACTCAATAGTAATTTTGGTCTGATTAAAAATAAACACTTCATATTTAAAATGAAATCCTTTATATTTTCAAATTTAATTATATATATATTTTTTGAAGGCTTTAACCCAATTAAGGTTTTTCTTTTGGCTAGGGCATTGCCTTGTAAAGAAAAAAGAGCAGGGTTGCCACCAGCGATGAAAACCTTGAAAAGCTTGAATTATGCATGAATTCATCAGGAAAAATTGTTCTACTAGTATCATTAAATTTGCCAAAATTTCATATTTAAAAACAGTTCAGTAAAACGGAACACCAAGAGAGAATACCATTTGGAGACGAGTATTTAAAATTTTCCACGTTCAGAAACAATTGCTTAGTTCATTCCAATTCATTTTGGGTTAGATGCTGATGTCAGCTAAGTCTTCCGATGTATGAGATCTTAGATCTTTGACTGTAAATGGTTCGAAAAATCATTAAGTGGCCTACCCCCGCGTATGGGTACAGGGGTATGGGGACTTTAATCACAAAAATAGAAGTTTTAGACCAAGCACGAAATTGAAACGGGGCACATAATAAAACAATAAAATCAAATTTCTGGCTCTCACGCCTGATGTTTTTAGCTTTGTGGATAAAACCACAGACAATAAACCATTAATTGTGTCTATAATCTGTGATAAAACCAATAAGTACATTGTGTAATAAGATAAACCAGAACACAGGATATTTCATGACATTCATATGGGGGGAAAACAGGACTTTTTGGCCGGGTGAACGAGATCAAACTCAAAATTAGTGTAACCAAGCGGTCAGACATGCTTAAAGATGATGTTCGTTTTCAAGCGGGCATACGAGGACTGTTATCCACAGCAGCACGGACTCTATCGAATGTTAGTTGTCTGACGTCCGATCTGACTTTGAACGGCTTGTCAGCTTCTTTTTGAACGCAGAAACCATTGTTTTATAGTTGATTGTCTACCACATGATTGTGCCACATGACGGAATCAATGTCGCCCTAATAAAAAAAAATCACCAAACTGCAGCTGAGTTGCAAGGACTCATTATGAATCATTATTTTTTAAATTTGACTTGATAACAAACGCACGATGCTCAGGTGACCACTGCTCTATGACCACAGATAATAACATCGTGTAGGCTTTCCAACGAGCCTAACCCCACCACTCTCAGACGACATGTTGCTGAACAGTGTGCTACATAAAATAGATCGATTTTTTTGCCGCAACTTGTATGAGCGTATTGACTATGAATTTTTTCAAACTACCAATGAAAACCATGAATTCTGCATGAATTTTGTCATCTCACTATGGTGGCAACCCTGAAGAGGAATATTTACTTGTTATATATTTTATGTCCAGCCAGCTCTTGTCGTGTTATTGTTTGGTCCTCCACCTCAGCAATATTGTGCCGGAATCCCACCATTGATTTTGCGCTTCCAAGGGCTTCACCCTTTTAATCAATGGAGTTGGGACTTTGGTCACACACTAGTTTATATTTAAAAGGCATTACTTACTTTGTGTAAACTTGAAAATATTGTGCAAGTCACGGTCTGCTATCTTTGATAGGTTATGATATCTAGGAACAAGAAATATGTCTGACAAGCACTACGATCTTGTGCATCCAGTGGCAAATATTAGGACTAGCCACAAAGCACAAAGATTGTTAGCCTACCCCAGGGTTATGCTGTGTCTGAGGAGGATATAAAGTAGCACTGATTTTTATCAGACTTAACTCTTCCATTACTGACATAGGTCACTTAAATAAGGATATTTATGATTTTGTTTGAAGTGTTTGGTACATGATAACATAAGCCTGATGTAACATATCATCAGGTCATAGAAAATCTTGGCATGGTGATGGTGTTCACACTAGTCTCTGCAGCACAAGAATGGTTGAACTCACAATCTGATATAAGACGTAAAATAGCAGAAATGCAAGAGGAGAAGAGGATAAGGGATGAAGAAGAAGCTGAGAGAGTAAGTAATAAAACAGTGAGCGTTTAACTAAATAGTTTAATTCGACGGTTGGCTTAAATAATTGACTCTGTGCAATTTGAATCATATCAGTTACAAACAGGATAGGAATTGAATTAACCTGTTCGGTGATAATAATGACTGTCAAAACTGCTAGCATGTTTCAACACTTGTACCCCTAGACTGCTAAGGCAAAAATGGCAATTTTGTAGATGTTTATTTAAAAAATCTATTGCTTTTAAATAAAGATTGGTTTGAAATTTTTTTTTTCAGTAGTAGAATACGACACATCACAAAAAATTAAGGTTACGTTTATGTGTAGGCCTACAATAATACATTAAAAAATCCCTCGCCAAGATTCATGACGTACCCCCCTCCCTAAATCTAGCACCAGCCCCCCCCCCCATGAATTAGAAAAAATAATACCGGTACCCCCAAATTTGAAAAAATAATCCCCCTGCCCCGCATTATTTCTAAAACTAAATTAAGATTTAAATAGATATTGAAAAAAGCGATTATCTTATTTTTTTTAGAGCAATCACATAATTTGTGAAAACCAGTTTGGTTTCAGGAAGGGTAAAAATACAACTAAGGCAATTTATGAGTTTTTTTTCGGGCATTTCGGAGGCTGTTGATAGATCACAGTACACAGTCTATGATGTTCTGTCACAGATCAGATGTTCTGTGATCTGTCGAAGGCCTTCGACTGTGTTGACCATGACTTGCTCATGAAAAAATTGAATCACTATGGGGTGAGTGGTAATGCACTTCTCTGGGTTCAGTTCTATCTGGATAATAGGAAACAATCAGTCAAAATAAATAATATTGTTCAAAGTAATTATTCCATTGTTAAAGCTGGTGTCCCTCAAGGATCAATTCTGGGGCCATTCCTTTACTTAGTCTTTGCTAATGATCTACCAAATGCAGTTCATAACTCCAAATTAATAACATGCAGATGATACTACTCTTTTATGTAAACACCCCATCCGGGTTAATTTATTTAAAATGCTAGAAAATGACTTATCTGCTATGAATTCTTGGTTTAAAGCTAATGGCCTTCTTTTAAATAAAAATAAAACTTACTTATCAAAAATCCTGGAGATAAACATTTTGAAAATGGTTTACTATGCATATATCTATTCAAACTTAACATATGGAGTGATTTTTTTTTTTCTCCGGCAATATTTAAGATTCAGAAAAGCATTGTCCGTGCTATGACAAATTCCCCCCATACTGCATCAGCCAAACCAATTTTCAGGAAACTAGATATTCTGCCTTTACCTTGGATTTTCATTCTACATACCCTTCTATTTGTTAAAGAAAATTTTCACAAATTCACTCTTTTAAAATCTACACATAACTATCCTACACGTAATTGTAATCTTTCTTTGCCGATACATCGAACAGCAGCTTTTGAAAAGACACCATTCTATACAGGCAGCCGATTATTTAATAAACTACCTTCTCATATTCGCATTGAATCTTCTGCCAAAGCATTTAAAACAAAACTTGTTAACTATCTAAAGAGCCATATGTTTTATTCAGTAGAGGATTTCATTTTATATAGCAATAGTGGTTTGTAAAATGGTTCATGTGGAGAGTTTGTTTTCTCATTATGTTTAAGTTACATTTTAATTTATTATGGTGTGGGTAGCCTCCGGAACCGAACTATGATAGTGGTTTAAATACCTTATTCATGCAATCCAATTGTTGTCTTCACAACTAGTTTCAACCTGCTAGGAGGTCATCATCAGGTGTGTACAAGGATGATATTACTTCATATGAAGGTCGTCAGTAACAGTATTTTTACATTCACACAAACACACGACGAATAAGCACATAGTGCGCACACATATACGGCCGATAAAAACATTGAACTTGACAAGCGGACCCGTGTTGAAGATGCGGAAGTTGCGTCTAGACTGTAGGGTAAACAGCTGGTCAAGCATCACGCGCATTTTCTTATCGCTCGTCGGTTCCATTCCCATTGTCTCTGCCCTCCCCTTCCCTCTCCAGTATTTCTATTGCAGTGTTGTATATGATGTTTGAATTAAAATAAAGTTGGTCGTTTAAAACATTATCCATGTCTGATTTGACGGCTCTATAAATCTCGAATTCTTCCAGGGTGTTAATTTTAAACTTGTCCTGTGACGTATGTAAAATTTCCATGTTTTCATTAATGCTGCTGTAATTATGCTGATGAGAAACTAAATGTTCGGCAAAGGTTGAAGTTTGTTTTGAGGTGGTCTTCTTTGGTATGTGCTCCTTAAAGCGTTTGGAGAAAGAGCGGGAAGTTTGGCCTATGTAATATTTATTACAATCTGAACAGTTGATTTTGTAAACACCACTTTTTTCATATTTAAGTTTAGTTGTACTTGGTCTTTCTTTCAGAAGTGGTCCCAGATTGTTTTTTGTTCTAAAGGATACTGTTATGTTATTTTTCCCCTTCATATGAAGTAATATCATCCTTGTACTCACCTGATGATGACCTCCTAGCAGGTTGAAACTAGTTGTGAAGACAACAATTGGATTGCACGAATAAGGTATTTAAACCACTATCATAGTATTTTAATTTAGTTTTTAACATTTTTGTATCATATTTTTGACATGTCATCTACCATTGAGGAAACTCCTCTGTATATGGTGTAATTTGTGACAATTTACATGAATAAATGAATAAATAAATGAATAAAAATCAAACCCAGTTAATAATATGGTATAAAATTAGTGATGGTCGGATCCGGATATCGGACTACCGGATCCGCCGGATCTGAGCTAGCACTGACGCCCGATCGGATCCACAAAAAATCGGATCTTGGGCTGGATCCGGTTTTAATGGATCCGATTTTTTTATACTATTAACACAAAACGGGCGAGTAATCGAGATTTCGATTTTGAGTAGAGTACAGCCTTGAAACTCGAACTTATCTTTGAACACGCCAGTTTCGAGTCAGTTTGGTTTAAAATTGTAAAAAATCAATACTTGTTAAAATGTAACTTGTGTTTACATAAAATGATGGATAATTTGTATTACTGTAGATTCTACAGTAATACAAATATAGAAATAAGCAAGAGGTAGTTGTCCTAATCTATTTTTATAGCTGTCGTGTCACAACGGAATAGGTCAACTCAAAGCAGTCGCCGGCCTGACTGGCAATGGTATACTGACTTGACACAGAATAGAATGACATGACCAGTAGTGATTTTGTTTTAAAGTAGGCCTACTGTTTCACAATAGAAAATTCCACTACTGAACTCCTACGTAAGCAATAAATTTATGTTTAAAAAGTCAGAATAGAAACACTATAAGGGCAAAACAATAGAAGGGAGGGAGGGGTTGTGCAATGACCTCGAAATGAGCGGCATAGCAAAAGTGAGTAGGGGGCTGGGGGGGGGGAAGGGAAGGGTGAGACCTTTGAGCTATATTTAGACTAGACTTTCACCACTTCCCAAATGGCTGGGTACGGGGATTACAATAGCAGGCTTTTTCCTTGCCTGGTTTGACTTTTGTCTTTTTGTGTAGGAGATTTGAATAATCAAAAATATAATTTGAATTGACCACAATTATTTGGGATTGATAATAAAATTTGCAAGGGACCAGGAGAAATATTATTCGAATTAGAGTTAATGCCATGATTTGCATTTTTATGTCAACATACAACATTGCGCAATCATGATGTTTTGGGTCATTGGACTTTTTAATACAACGCATCTGTTATAAGTCGATAATTATAAATTGATGTTCCCGTGGTTGAAAATAATTATTCTGTAAATTTGTAAAACATTAGATAACTCATAAATAAGTATAATACCCCCGCGCAGCAAACCTGCAGACTAAGCGAATTTCCATTTGCCTGATTGGATTTACACTAAAATGTCTCCTTAAAAATACCACATCTATATATACAGGGTGTCCCGGAACTCTCTACCAATATTTTAGGACATTGATCCTGGGTAAGAAACGTACCTAAATATCATATTTAAATTGTCCGGAAGTCCTTAGTTACTCACACAGCCGCCATTTTGTTTTTTTAAGTTATTAATTTTTTTCTAAAGAATGGTTAAACATACGAAATGGAAACTTTGCACAAGCATTTATGACAACTAGACAAAGCTACACAAAAATTATGAAGATTTTTCAAATTCATAAAACAAAATGGCGGCCATTTAAAATTTTCTTTCTTAAATAACTAAAAAAACCATTGATTTTACAAAAATTTTAAATGGCCGCCATTTTGTTTTATGAATATGAAAAATCGAGATAATTTTTTGGTAGCTTTGTCTAGTTGTCCTTAATGTTTGTGAAAAGTTTCCATGTCGTATGTTTAACCATTCTTTAGAAAAAATTAATAACTGAAAAAAACAAAATGGCGGCTGTGTGAAGTAACTAAGGACTTCCGGACAGTTTAAATATGATATTTAGTTATGTTTCTTACCCAGAATCAATGCCCTAAAATATTTGTAGAGAGTTCCGGGACACCCTGTATAATTCTGTAAGACCAAATTTTTACCAGAAAATTGTGGACGTCTGGTAAGTTGCAGAAAAGTGGGAGGGGTCTTAAATTAAAGGTCTTGACCCCAGGGACTCGGGAAAAATAGCAGAATTCCCATAAAGTTACCAGAAAACGAGATATAACGTAAAATATCCACCATAAGAAATGCATGGGAACTGAAAAACGTCTGCATTCTATCAGCTGTTACTTATTTATTCGCAATGTTTACATTTATTCCGAAAGTCAATGTTGGTAAATAATGTTTCAAAATGAATTGTGTTTAATTTTTTTGTTTTCCGTTTTTATTATGAGTAAAGTAACTATAACTATAGACAGGGTAGGGGAAGACCTGCAAGACGTGGAAGAGTGTCCAAGAATTCAACAGACTTAAGAAATGCAAAAGAGAACGTCATGTAGGGCCTAACTGTAAAAGAAATCCAGAAGCTGTTTTACAACATGTCTTTAGAAGAACGCTGGAAAATGATTTTAGTGTTGCTTCTTACAATCTAG